GGAAGGAAGGAAGGAAGGAAGGAAGGAAGGAAGGAAGGAAGGAAGGAAGGCAGGCAGGCAGGCAGGCAGGCAGGCAGGCAGGCAGGCAGGCAGGGAGGCAGGCAGGCAGGCAGGCAGGGCAGGCTTCCACAGGAGGGACTGGATGCCTGGCCCTGGCCTGAGACACAAGAGGGAGAGAGTCAGGGTGGCTGAACCTGGACTGGGAAGATGAGCCACGTAAATCATTCAGTGATTGTGGATGACTCCCTCTAATCTCCTCTGCCAAGGTGGTGGTGGTGGTGAAGATAAAGTGAGGGGTGGAGAATCCCCTCCCCTCACACGAGTCCCCATCTAAGCAGCCTTGAACTCATGGGAAGAAAAGCAGGATGGATCAACCTGCTTTTAAGAATGAATGAATCAATCTGCTATTCAGAGACCCTGAGCCGAGGAGCCTGCTGGCTCAGAAGGCAAAAAGAGGGGGATTCGAACTGGGGACAGCCACCCCCCTCTGGCCACTGCCAGAGGTACACAGAGACCAGGCGCCATGGGGGGGGGGCTGGGCTGGCTGCAACTCCCCAACCCCCTCACCTGCTCTGAGAGGCCTCCTCTTTGGACGTGCCCCGATGCGGGGCTGGGGGGCGGCCAGCCATCGTGAGACTCGGCTTCTCCAGGTCATCCGCGAGTTTCCCGGAAGGACCGGCTGCTGCAGCCTCTCCCGGCGAATGTTTCCTGCCAGCGGATCTGGAAAAGAACGGCACAGAGCCTTGAGAAACAAGCAAGGAAGCAAGGAGGCGGGGATTGGGTGGGGAAACTGGCACACACACGCACGTGTGTCTGGGGGGGTGTCAGTCCCACGATGGAGCCCCTTGAGGAAGGGGTGGAATGTATTCTCCAAGGCTTTCACATCCGGGATCTGATGGTGGTTGTGGGTTTTCCGGGCTGTTTTGGCCGTCTTCTGGAGGTTTTTCTTCCTAACGTTTCGCCCGTCTCTGCGGCCATGGGCATCTTCCGAGGACAGGAATCGGAACTCTGTCTGTTCTAACTAAAACCTTCAGAACACGGCCAAACAGCCCGAAAAACCTACAACCACCAAGGGGTAGAATACCAACACAGACAGTGGCTGCTCCACAGCTGCCTCCTGTAAGCCCAGCAGCTCCCCGAGAAGCTGTACGACAACACCCATCGTCCCTGGCCAGCGCGGCCCTTGGGCAGCTGTGGTGCAACAGA